ACAAGAGGATATTTTTGAAAACTTTCTTCGGCTATATTGTTCTAAATTATGGCAGGAATCGATTGGTACATGTTTCAAGTCGCTAAGTGGTCTGGTTGCCGAGATATGGGCAAAAAAAAACTGCATTTTTTCGAGGTTTTTTTGGCTTTTCCGGGAAATCCATGAAAGAAACCCGGAATTTTTATGGCCTATGCTCATCCTCGTAACTTGCTTAACGTAATTGCTTTTGGAACTAGTCATCGATATTGCTTCGTTGAGGAGGAGATACGACTTAAAGCTGCGGACACACATTCATACATTCATCCATACATCCAGAAATGGCGGGTTAATAAACGCAATTCTCCAGAATGGAAATTGCGCTAATTAAAAAAAAATTATATATAAAAAAACATTGTTTTTTCTTTCCCTTAACTTGAAGGGATCCAAAATTTAACTAAAAGCGATGCTAAACATAGTGTAAGAGGTGATAATCAGATGAGAGTGGTTGGTTGTATCTGATCTTGTTGCAAACTGTTTTTAAAGTGTTGTGTTTTTAACTGGAGCCAAGTATTTAATTTACTACGCTAAAAATAATATACTAGATGCGTTTTCGTACTTAAATAAAAATGTTTCTATATAAACGTAAGAATGAAAACAATGAACATGCTATATTTTGTTCTGTGCTTAACTTGTTTTTTGGATTTTTCGTAGTTGACTTTAACAACTTAATTAAAAGTGGCCTCCCTTGCAAAGGGGGATAATTTTCATTGCCATTCGTCTCATTAGACTCGCCTGACTGGGAATGTAGACAATCATGTAGGGCAGTGTCGGCAACCTTTTGAGCCGGAAGAAGCACAAGATACAATTTACAAAATTTCTTCGAGCAAGGCATATGCTAGGTTTTCCTTTCCTTGCAGTTTGACATTTAGCTCGTTTAGTTTCTCTATGATTTCTACCATGAAGTTGAATGTTGCAATTTGGGATGGACAAGAAAATAGGAAGTACATTGAAATAGGGAGTAACGAAACATTCTAATAAAATAGCGAGTATTTATTGTTTATATTTATTAGTATACGTTCAACACCGAGCGTTGCAAAATAAAAAAAAAATTTATGAGTTTTAAAAATAAAATATAAAAATAATTAATACTTGTGCATGGAGCCGAAGAGCCGCATCTTGACATCAAAAGAGCCGCATGCGGTCGCGAGCCGCAGGTTGCCGACCCCTGGACTATCCCAATCCATTTAAGAAGCTGTGAACTTTCCTTCTTTCTTCCTTTATCGACAAGACCTGTTCACAAGGTGTCTCTCATTAGCCAGGCAGGTCTCAACACTGCCTACTTCGACTAACTGGCTTTAATATCGGTGTGACTACCGTTTATCGGTCGCGTCTGTCCTTTGGTTCTCAACTGGCTTATCTTCCACCCCACAGAGCCCAGGGAAAACTCGTACCCTTCCGTCCAGTACCCGGCTCAACAATAGGAAGCTAATAAATACAAAACTACACCACTCACGTTAAATTGATGATTACTGACGGATAGGGGAATGGATTCTGAATAACATAACATTCCCCATTGAACTATATTCGAAAAAGTCGGTCTTTGGTCAGTGCCAAGCATGGAATTATTGCCACGGGGCTGGCCATAGCACGGATGTTGGGCTGGGCCCTGTGCCCAAGCGGCTATTAGCTGTCCGTATACTTTCTACTGCACCTATTCTCACTGTTCTCTGATAAATGTTTTTATCTTATTTAAAGTTGTATATCTTTACATTGTAATACTTGTTATGAGTTTTGAAAATGAAATAATATAACTATTAATATGTGTGCAAGGAGCTGGAGAGCCGCATTTGGACATCAAAAGTACCACATATAAAATTTCCCTGTTTTTAAAGAGCCACATTTTTTTTCAATATTTAGTATTTGATTAGGATTATGTAAAATAATTTGATTTGCTATTAAAAATAAATAGCTTTAAATATGAAATAATATTTATTCATATAAAAACATACACGTGTTTCGCCAGAGAAATAAAATTATTCATCAATTAATATAACTATAGGACAATCCAAATCCACTTTAGAAGCTGTTAACTTTTTTTTCTGTCTTTACGGATATCACGGGCTCAGGCGGTGTCTGCCATAAGCCAGGCAGGCCTCAACACAGCAAACTCCAACTAACTGTCCTTGGGTATCGGTTTGATTACCGTGTATCGGTAGCTTCTGTGCTTTGGTTCTCACCAGGCTTATCTTCCATCACACTGAACACAGGGTAAACTCGTACCCCCATATTCCAGTACCCGGCTAATAACTAAAAAAAACTACCTCACTCATGTCAACTTAATGATTACTGACCGATAGGGCAATGCATTCTGAATAAAATGACTTTCCCCATTCAAAGATTTCGAAAAAGTCGGCAATTGGGCAGTGGCAAGCATAGAATTGCTGCCACGAGGATGTCAATAGCACGGCTGTCTGTATAAGGACTGGGCCTGGTGCCCAAGCGGCTGTTAGCTGTCCGTATACTTTCTACTGCACCTATTCTTACTGTTCTCTAATGAGTGTGTTTATCCTGTTTAAAGTTGTGTTTCTTTACAGTGTAATATTTGTTTTGAATTTTGAAAAAAAATAATATAATCTATATATATAATTCTCTTCTGGGAGCCGTTAGAAAACAAGCTGCAAGCGCCTCCTTGCAGTCCCCTCTCTTTCTCTCTATCACTATCACTATCACTACCACCCCCACCCACCCCACCCCCACATTGTCTGGTGAGTTGTGGTCACGCTAAATGTTTACAAAGCTAAATGTTTACAAATCGTAGAGCCGTAGAGCCGGGTTTCTATTAGGGGCAGATAATTTAGTTCGATTTTAAACTTACAGGAGGTAACTAAGAAATAACTAAGAGGAGGCTGCTTTCACGGGGGGGGGGGGGGGGGGGGGGGTGTAGGGTCGGGGTTAGGGGAAAGGGGGGGGTGTTAGTGTTTTAAAGCAAATATTTTCAGTGGCAGCATTGGTGCTGTCAAATTCACAAATTATGAATTACTGAAAAGTAGAAAATAAAACAACTAAATAGCGGCGTATGATACGCTGCGGGTCGGCTCGTTATTAATATTTGTGCAAGGAGCTGGAGAGCCGCATTTTGACATTGCAGATTGCCGACCCCTGATCTATATCCAAATTCTCAAAGTTGGTTTTTAATAATCAATGTATGTCCCTTCATAAAGGGATCCAAAATTTAATAAAATTTTCAAATTATAGGCTATATACGATTCATCGGATAGTACTCGCTTGTGTCTAAAATGATCTCAAATATTTCTAAAGCGTTGTCAATTGCTAAAATTATGTTTTAAACTGTGACTCTTAAAATAGAATGAAGAAAATTCTCACACTTAATAGTGATATGTTTTATTAAATTAAAAATAAAGAAAATGCGATGTAATGTTTTTATGCTCCTCTGTATTTTTTTCCGTAGATATAAGCGTTCTACTTACAAGTGGCCTCCCTTGTTTGATTTCTGTACTTACAAAAGGGTGGTAATTTTCATTAGGCTTTGAATGGATTTAGATACGGATACTTCACTTATAAATATAGCGTACAATACCCACAGAGTAGGTTGGTGGTTAAATCATGTTATATTAGGTAGGGGTGGCGTGGTACAGAATTTTACTCAAGAATTTTTCATTTTTGGGAAATAAAACGTTTTCCTATTAAACTACTTGTATTAAAATTAAATTCATGTTTATTCAACTTATTTTTGTGTGGCTTTAAATAGATTCTTAGGAATTATTTTTAAAATTCTTTTTATGCGTGTTTTATTTAAATTCTACCTCGGCCTAGAGTCATTTACAAAATTCAAAACCCCCACACCCTAATAGAAAACCTATATTCTAGTATAAAAATCAACTTTTATCATACATTTTTTTTAATATGTCAATTAACATCCCCACTTATCAAACACTGCTGCCTTGTATTTCTTGATTGGACAAAGGAAGCAAATCCAAAAAGAAAAGCAGGCTGAAATCGGAGTGGTCAATAGCTTAAAAGGCGCATAACCAGTTGACACATATACTTAATTCAATTGGAGGGGATACCTTCCAACACTAAAATTAAGAACGAAGAAGATCCCCACTTAAAAAATATGTACTCTCTGTGGTGGCACTGCACCCCTTCCCCACAGCTAGTCCGCCACCCCTGGACAAAATGGTAAAAATATATTCCCCTGGAAAATTTATCCTCCCCTCCTCTCCATTACAGAAAAATGTCTGAAAGATGCACTGATAGCAATACAGACCAATCTTATTTTGAACTATCTGGCATCTATTATTTTGACGATGAACATTCTAATCCAATTAGAATATTTCCAACTATCTTGTCAACATACACAAATGATTTCACACTTATTTGACATTGTTTTTCACATCCTTTTCCACACTTAGAGGCAGCATGATGTCATTTGTGGAACACCCCTATTAAGCTATGTTGTTTTGTTAACAGCTTCTTAAAAGTTAAACTTATTTCGTGACTAAAATTCCTTTACACAAGTCACTCTTCATAAGGATTTTCTCTTTCCATCAATTTGTATGCAGCTCTGCTCATGTTAGTAGTGATTAATCTATACCACCTCGTTAACTTTTATATTGCATAAAGTATACTTTACATTAATTTTTATTGACTAATATATTATCCCACATGAATGAAAAATTTAGTAAGACATCAAATAGAAATGGATAAAAAATGAATTTATAATTTTTGTGAAATTTTCTTGGTAATACAAAGATGGTGCATACACACACAGACATCTTAGGTCCACTCAATAAACATTGGTGTCTAAGTTTTCTGAAATTCACACCTTTAAATAAAACCTGAATTTTTAACTGAATTTTTTTTAAGTATTTGACTTATTGGCCAAAACCCTTAGATTTAAATCAGATACTGAACCAAGTGCATAGCTTTCACAAGCACAATTATTCTTCAGGATAGTCATTATATGTTTATAAATAGATATATAAAAAAACAAGCAATCATTGACATAATTTATGATTTTTATACAGTTTATTTGATAAGAAACAAACCCACAAACGGTAATTCATTCAGAATATGGTCGAAATTTTTTTAATATTAGAGGTTTCACACAACATATAAAGAAATAATTGAAAAACAAATATTCAATAAGTGGATGAAATGAAATAGCATTGTAAGGCATCGGTACTCATTCCTTAAGCCCTACAACAGCGTCAGCAGTTGAAATAATAACTCTTGATGGACCAAAAAACATTGGGAGAAATTAAGTATCCTGCTATTGTTTATTATATTAAGTATCAGCTTATTGTTTATTTTATAGTTTAATTAAAAAATAAAATGGCTATGACAATGGGTAGGTGTATCCCCCATAAGACTTTAAAAACATTAAATATTGAGTTCATTTGTAAATCTACTACCATTTTCACTAGCCAACAAACCAAACAACAAAACTGTATTAAAATATATTTAATGTAAACCATGGGCACTAACGACATACATAGTACTTGTACTCAGTGTAAGATAACTCAGTGTAAAATGCCTTAAATTGAATGTAAAACTCTTCTAATTAGTCAAATTGTCCTCAGTATTCCCACTTCTTAAACTCCATGCCATCTGGTGGTTTTACTTCAACTTTTTTTGTACCCACTTCAGACCAGTTGGTGCTTAATACTGTCCCTCCTGATTCAGTCTGTGAAGGAAATAGGTAAATCAAAATATAGGAAATTTTAGTACAATCCTAATAGCAGAATGAATCTCTAACTAGAAAGACAAAAAAAATCAGTGACATCTGATTTTTGATTTACCCTTTAGCTGAGGCACAAAAGAAATAACATGAGAATTAAATAGAAAATAGGATAAAAGAATATCAGATAGTAAGAAAAATATATAATTTAAAAAGTGATGTTAACCTAAATTTATAATATATATTTTGTTTATTATTTAAAACAAGGTATTTTTAGTTAATTTTTTTTTAATGTTGATAAATACTAATTAGCTTCTATGAATGCACCATTAAAAAAAAAGAAAATACAGTTCTTTTCTTTAAATATAATAATGCAACACTGTTTATCTAACCATAAAGAAAATAAAGTAAAATACTTACAAATGATTTCATCATAGCTTTTTTGGTTTCATCAGAAGCATCAGCATAGATTTTCTGGAAAAACTGGTTTAACGCTGCATCTCCTTCAAGCTTTTCATCTTTTTCTTCTTCTGTCACCTGCTTGGCTAATTTATCCCAGTCTTTAGCATGGTGTGAGGAGGAAGGATATCGTGGTGGCTCTGCCGGAATAGGTGCTGAAAAAAAGGTTATCTGATAATGATAGACTATAAGCTTATTATGTGCAGCGGAGACAAGTTGGTGAAAACACAGGATACAGATTGAAAATGTGATTTGTATCCATATTTCAAACTTAATAACGAATTTCATTTCAAACCAGATGGTCCATGGAGAAGGTGGAGTAGAGTTCATCTTTTTCTTTGAATATAGCATAAGGGTGAAAACATGATCAGCCGTCTTTACTTTCCCACATCCAAATCAGCTACCCAACATGGGTGAAGCTAACAAGTCCTACAGGATGAGGACAGTGATCTAAACTTTCGCGTTGTAGTCAAGTGCTCTACCACTTGACCACGCCACCCATCACACAATCTTAATTTAAGCTTTTCTATCAATCACCTCAGATAATCATGTTAGTTGCAGTGTAGAAAGCAGTGTGTTGTAAGGTATTGATCACTGTTAATCATGATAGCTTTTAAACTATTAGCAGATATCCAGGAGAGCTACAGCAATTCAGCGTGTGCATGAGATTTTTAAAAGACATAAAAAGGGTTTGGAGTCTACAACAAGACCATGTTTTTTATTACCTGCAGCCACAGGACAAATTTTTTCTTCTTCCACATCTCCTTCTAGCTTGGACCATAATATCCCTTCACCTTTTTTAAGCTTAACCTCTACCTGAAAAATGAACAGAGAGATTTAAAAATAAAGAGTATGAGTATAAATTTAAAATACGATAAATATTTCTAAAACAAAATTAAAAAACACACACACAAAAATAATAATGCATCCATAAATATTAGAGTGTTGTTTTGGAATATGAAAAACTTTGAATGGGAAATTTAAGGAAGGTAAGGGGTGTTCTCAGTGCATTACTCACCTTTGTAGAAAGCACTTTAATTGTTGTTTGCTGTGAATCCACTCTATGAGCAAGAGTAAGGTCCAATGACACCCTGGGATCTTTGATTTCTATTTTAAGCTGCAGCAGTATTAAGAAGGAAAAAAAAAATTTCATAGATCTATAACAGTATTAATTATGTGATCAGATGGGAACTTTTCAAGGAATTTCTTTTTATATAAAAGTAAATTTTAACATTATGTTTAAAAAGATTGCAAAGAACAAATTACTTACCTGTCTATCCGCAGAATCAACAGTGAGATTTTCTTGTTTTATATTTTTCATCAAAATATTCACAACTACATGTGTACTTGTTTGATACCAGTCATACCTGATTGATAAATAGAAGTTTATAAGATGTATAATTAAAAATAAAATCAAGGAAGTATAACTGTAATGTTTAGTCACCAGGGGGTAGACAAATTATCTTTCTTACTTGAGCTTAGGGGGACCAGCTGGAGCTTGGTTCTCCACAGGCTGGGCTATGCTTTCATTTGATTTAGGTTTTGCATCTTGAGAATCACTTTCTGCAAACACGAATGTGAACATTAACAGAAATATATTTTATTTTATATAAGAACGAACATTTTCAACAATATATAAGGGTAATTAGTAGGAATCCAAAACTTAAAAAACAATGTTTTGTAATATTCATCAGCTGTTAAGTGTGAATTTTCACAAGAATTTAATAAAATTTAAATTGGTTAGGTTATTTAGCCTTAATTAGCAAAAGTAATTAATTTAGAAAAAAAAAATCTTACTTGGTAATTTCTCCTGACATTTATTTATCCATTCTTCAAAGTTTTTGTCTGATTCTGTTTAAATATGAAATATTTAATTAATCATAAATGAAAGTTAAAAGTTAGCAAATCTATGTTTTATGAAAAAGGATATCAAGTTTAGTAATAAAAGCATACCAAATCTTTTATGCCCTTCTTTAAAAACATTCAGCGCTTCTCCAAATTTATTCATCTTATAAAGAGCAGACCTAAATGAAACAACATTTTTAACTTAAAATTAATAAAATATATTTATATGACACATGAGTAAAGTAGTAAGTAAAATTCCCTTTCAAAAATGTTGGCGCATAGTTTTGCTTAAAAATGACACACATATTTTCTAAATAAACTTTTATTTTACCCTTTTTTAAAATATGCTTTGTTGTTGTTTTCATTAAGTTCGATTGCTTTATCACAGTCTTTGGCAGCCTCTGAAAGGAAAGAAGTAAAATTGAAAACTTATGGTAAAAAAATAAAGAACAGATGTTGCAAAAGACTATTTTAAAAGAATGAATAAAAAGTATGGCATGAAAATATGCATACTAAATGTGACAAACATTTGAAACAAACCTGAAAACTTTTCCAGCTGTATGTATGACTGAGCTCTATGACAATAAATGTCATCCCTTTTATCATCTAGTTGTAATGCCTCAGTATAAAGCTAAAAAAAAATATTGTATTTACTACACCATCATCTCCATTTAATTGAGAATACTTTTAAGTTCTAAAAAATAAGTTTAAAATTTCCACCTATTTTAAATTTAACCTTCAGAAACTGAAAGAATTAAAATTTTAAGGGGTAAAGTAACAACTTAATACCCAAATAGTTTAATACATAAAATATGAATGATGACTAACATCATCTTTTCCCATTAGTGCCCAGGACACACGCGCCGCAAAGATAAATATACTAGGTCTAAGTATTTTTCAAGATGTTCACCTGTTACTTGGCTATGTATATCATATGTTAGCTAATGTGTGGCTAAGACAATAGAATTACCCTGTTGTTTTTTTTCCAAAAAAGAAAGTATCAAATAAAGAACTATCGTGATACAAGATTTAGTCCTGGGTTTATACTTTGAACATTGCACTTTTAAGTCTGAAACTTTGTACTCAACCATGAAAATCAATTTTGCAAATAAATTTTTGTATTTACCTCAACAGCCTTGTTGTAGTTTTCATTGACATATTCTTCATTTGCTTGACTGAAATATAAAAGAAAAAGCAATTAAGCTATAATAGTTTTAAAACAGAAACAATTATCCCAATAGTAATTCTATAGATAGACTACTACTTTGGTAATCTATCGTTTTAGGTACGTAAAATCGGCCGAGACTAGTAATGTGAAAAAAATGTGATACATTAAATTTTAGTAATCATTTCACAGTTTTAGAAGGAATTATGTTTTAAAAGTTATTAAAATGTTTCAAAGTTTCATTAATGTACCTGTTTTTAAACAATTGTATTGAAACTTTTCAGTAAAAAATAAAGACTAGCGATGTTTTCATCAAATGCAACCAACCTCATTTACTTTAGCAGCCATCTTGCATACATTTTTAAAATGAGTTAGAGATTCAGGAGAAACCACTCTAACCTACAGATGGCCGCTGTTTATATAGCAAATCCTGCTCTCAAACACTGCTGTTTAAAGTTAATTTCTGGTCTATTTTGATATATTATTTACTATTTAGCCATTGATTTTGGTTTATTATTCAGTTATCTATAATACATAACACAAAGGTATATATCACGGTAATCTATCGTTTTGGGTACGTAAAATCGCCAGCGGCTATTAATGTACGACAACGTTACCTCATTGTCAAGGCTGTAATAGAAGTATATTGTGATATGTTTGTGTTAAATATTATAGATAAATGAATAATAAACCTAAATCAATGACTAAATATATCAATATAGGCCAGAAATTAACTTTAAACAGCAGTGTCTGCAAGCAAGATTTGCTATATAAACAGCAGCCATTTGTAAAATAGAGTGACTTCCGCCTGAATCTTGCGCTATAAGTCTATAAAATAAAACTTTAACAAGATGGCTGCTAAAGTAAATGAGCATGGTTGCATCTGTTGGAAACATGGCAGGTGTTCATTTATTACTGAAAAGTTTTAATTCAATTGTTTAAAAACAGGTACATAAATGAAACAAGGAAACATTTTTGTATTTTTCAAAACATAAATCCTCCTCAAAATGTGAAATAATTATTAAAATGTAAGGAGTCACCTGTTTTTCACATTACTAGTCGCGGGCGATTTTACCTACCTAAAACGATAGATTACCTATATCACAATATACTTCTATTAAAGTATTAACAACGAGGCAACTTTTTCGCACATTACTAGCCTCGGCCAATTTTACGCACCTAAAATCTAAAACGATAGATTTATTTAGATTACCCCTTCTTTTTATTATTAGAATAATATTAGGCCTATTCTATTAGTATTAGAGTTGAGTTTTTACTGATTTCTCCCTTCCACCCTCCCCACAAGTGCATTCACTTTATGCCAATGGAATCTAATCTTAATCTAAGATAGATGGCATCATTGCCTGAATCATTGGCATGCACTCAGCATTGAGTCAAATTGAGCATTGAGCTTCAGTTGTTTTCCCTGACAACTCAACAATTACATTACAACAACCGACAGCATAGGACGAAGTACTGGAGAGAGATGAATCCAGACTAAATTAAATATAATGAATCTTCCACGGGCCAAGCTATCAGTGTTAATATTAAGGTCGAACCGCTCTAAAATGTTTTTATTATCCTACATATTAAATGTAAATTATGCAACATACTTGCAAAGTTCGGTAGCCATTGTGTTGTCGCTTTCAGCTAAATTTTGTTGAAAATTGTTTTTGGAATTTACTAGAAATTATTCAATAGAGTAGTTTCCCCTGCCTAAACTAACCATAGCCAACCGAAAAGCGCTAGGCCTAGAACTAGATCTAAATCTAGAATCTAGGCCTAACTTAACGATTTTAAAACATATTTTATTAAAGCATATTTTAGTAATGTATTTTAGGCAAAGAATTTCAAAATACTAATAATTTTTAAAAAGAATTTTGATATTTAGGGCCTGAATAAATAATATGCACCTGCATTAATATAACGCATGCACAAATATTTTATTATTTATCTTCTAAGTTTTAGTATAGTTTGGTATAGGCCTGCTGGCTATAGTCTATAGGCCTACTAAGTTGGATAGTCCTATGTCTAAAATATTATTTTAAAGCTTCCTAAGTAGGCCTAAATACATAAAAACTGTCTAAGATATAAGAACAGTGTTTCTTCCAGACTTTTTTCTCCGGGGGGGGGGGGGGGGGGGCACTTGAAATTTTCGGGTGGGGGGGGGGGGGGGGGGGGGTGGCGGTAGACTTTCTTCGGGGAGGGGCGGACACTGTTTAAAATATATATTTTCTATATAAATTATATAAATTTCATTTCGTTTGGGGGGCGGTAAAAAGAGATGCCTGGAAGAAACTCTGCATAAGAAGTAAAAAGTAGCCTTTTTGGACGATTTTTACCTCCCCTTTCCGTCACACATCGTCACAAAAGGCCAGACCATCCCCCCTAAAATGACGTCACACCTCTGCCTACAACCACCCCCTCAATATTGCAGTTGAATTTTTTCTAAAAACATCGATAGTTTTTTCAAAATCTTATCTGGCTTTCTGTGACGATATGTGACGGGGGAGGGGGGGGGGGGGAAGGTAATAATCGTCAAAAAAAAGCGTGACGTCAATTATCTTTGACCCCTAAAGGTTTTTATATTTGTTTTATTTACAGTCACAGTTAAATGTGTTTTGTTTTATATTTAAAAGCGCAACACTATAATGTACAATAGTTTTTACGATTTAAAAAAAAAAGCAGAAAAAACAACTTCAATTTATTTTAGGAAAATCTTCTTAGAAGGTTTAAATCTTTTTAAATATATCAACTAGGGTATACTTTTTGTAACTACTGGTAATTTTACCGATAAGTATGCAAAAATAATGTTTAAATGAGCCTGCAAACAATATGGTTCGTAAAGGCTTAAATTATTAATCTTAAAATATCTTTAAAATATAATATAGGAAAAATTGCTGATCAACAACACAGCACACGCAAAAAAAAATAATTTTTCATTTAATTTTTTTTTGTATTAAAAGCAGTGGCTTCTATAGGGACTCGATGAAGCGACAGGTCAAACTACCGCAGTTACCCCGCCCTGTTTAATTTTGGTAATATAAGTAGCCCACCGTATCCCTTGTGTAGGACGCTCTTTAAAACAAATATAGATGCCAACGTGCTATAGCGGGGAGTCCAGGGTGCTCCTGGTCACTGTTTGCACACCGCTGTCCACATGTGCTCGACACAGAATCAATTGACCCCAAAAGCATATAGTCGTCTAACAGCACACTACCTTCAGGCGTCTCTTCCGGGGCACTGCCCCTCCCCCGGATGAAATGAAAAAAATGTAGGCATATAATTTATTTAGGAAATATTATACTTAACCCGCCATCCCATATTAATTTTCGTTTATGCCAGAGATTTTTATAGGCAAAGGGAAATAATCAATTATATATTTTTTTGTGCAAAATAATCTAAGCTTGGTTAACAATCAAAGCTTTTATAATTGCAAATGTACTAGTTTAATGGGGGCCGAAATTTAATTTGTTTTTCTCCCGAAGGTATCTGCACAGGAGTATTCTTAACAATTTCCCTTAAAGTAAAGTTTCATAGGCCCCCTACATACCTACATTTTCATGTACAATTCTTTAACCAATGTCCGCCCCCGGCCCCCTCCAGAGAAAAAAAAATCTTTGAAAGTAACCTTGCTCATTGCGAACTGTTTTCCTTCTATTGCTGTAACGTTACAGTTACATTTACAATTTAGTTTACAATCATATACACATTATTAGGCTATTTAAAACATTCAAATAAGCGAAACATATTTTCTACTTCCGTGTTATTTTTTTTTATACCAAAGGTTGTGAGAGGTCACAATGACGTCAATAAGAGAAGTGTACTTTAGGCCTAGGCCTAAAACAGATTTGTAGAGAACGTGTTTTCTTCAGACCTTCTGGTTGTGTTGGGTTGACTTGATGTGGATTTCCTTTTTGTGTTGATGAATTGATTATATTTTTAAAGAAATGGGAGATGAAAGAATTATACGTGTTGGAACAAGAAAAAGTCAGGTAAGATTCTACTTTTTATTTGGAAGCCCATTTCCTTCACTTAATTTATTATAATTATTAAACTTAAATTTTGTAAATGACTTAAGTTGACTTAAGTTAAAATTAGTTAAAAAGTTTAAAGACTTAAAGAAAATTTGTTTATAGACCTAGATCTAGATCTAATTAATAAATTATAATTTATACTTTAATAATTTAGGGCTAGGCCTATGTTAAACAAAAAAAAAACTATAGGGGCCTATCTATACTTAAAACTTAGGCCGATTCTAGTCGGAATAAGATACATACGCATGCGATACGCATGCGCAATGGAGAGAAACTACGACTTGCCTTAGCGGCGATGTTTTCGATGGCACTGCGCATGCGTGTGTTTACAACCGCAGAACCCTAATACCAACCCTAATCCTATCCTTAACCCTATCCCTAATCCTAACCCTAGCCCTAATCCTAACCCTAACCCTAATCCTATCCCTATCCCTAATCCTACCCCTAACCCTCACTCATTCTAGCCCTAACCCTAGCCATAGGTCACTGCGCATGCGCAGAACTATCTTTTGCCGAAAAATCTTATTCCGAGTAGACACTTCGTAAAACTTATACTATAGGCCAGTAGTATACTGAGTAGGCCTATAGGCCATATATTAGGCCTATAGGCCATAGGCCTATATTTAACTTTAAAACTTTATTTTAAATATTTACTACTGCCGTAGGCCTACTAATTTATTAGGCCTTAGGCCATATTTTAGGGCATTTTACATTTGATGATTTTTTATTTTTTAGGAGCCTCCTAATATGTTTTACTTGAGTCTATCATAGACTCTATGGTACTTTTAATTTTAAGATTAATAAATAATAAAAGATATTTAGATCTAGATCTAGACCTATATTATTTAAAAGAGTTTTACTCAGTCTAGAGCAGGGGTCTCCAAACTTTTCAGTCCGAGGGCCGCATTAACTATCAAATTTCAGTTCGGGGGCCAGTTTCTTCCAGGCATGTCTTTTATTTTTCTGGGCAAAGTTCCTCAGCCATCACAAACAAACGATTTTTTCTTGGACAAAAAGATCTCCGCGGGCCGGATAAGAGAACTTCGCGGGCCGCATCCGGCCCGCGGGCCGTAGTTTGGAGACCCCTGGTCTAGAGAGTAGAGTAAGTAAAGTAAAGTTACTGTAAAGTTTCCCTTTCAAACCTGACGGTCTATGGGGCAAGTGAAGTAGAGTTCACTTGTTTCTGTGACCTCGGCTTATGAAGAGATAGTGTGGTCAGCACTATGCCCAGCCGCCTTTACTTTCCCTAACGTAAGTTAGGTACCCATCAGAGTTGGATGGACTCAGGGACGGTTTACTGACTTGAACCCGGATTCGAACTCGAGACTAACGGGTTAGTAGTCCAGCTCTCTACCGCTAGACCACTCCGTCCCATAGAGAGTAGAGTAGGCCTATTTTTAATTTTACCAAAGTACTAAAAGGCTAAATAAAATAAAGGCTTTAGTAATAATAATATCTAGATTGAGAGTGAGTGCCCTGACCTACAAGAGTTTTAGAGATACGGGTAGTATAGAGTGCAATTTTTTTTTTTGATTTGAGTTACGAGCAACATTTGAGATCTGATATGAGTAGCCGTATCTGCAGGTTTCACATTAGATTCATTAGATGGAAAAAAAACACCCTGAAAAGGTTGCAACTGATTATGCATCACAGCTATTTAAGGACCCTTGTTTAACTCATTTCTGTAACATTCTGAAAGGGATGAGAAAACAACCCTCCTTAACAAGTTTTCTTTCAAAGGCATACAATGGCTGCAGGTGAAAGTGAGGATAGCATAGCAAAAAAGCTAAACTAGTGAAGAGAGTTCAAATCTCGGTCCAAGTCAGTGTAGAATGTCCCAGGTACCTTTCTCATGTTAGGGCAAGTAAAGGCAGCTGGTCAAAGTGCTGACCACACCTTCCCTTCATATGCTGAGGGCAGGAAACATATGAACTCTATTTTATCTGCCCAATGGATCACTAGGTCTAAAGGGAATTTTTACTTTAGTGAAGGTAGCATTTTGAGGGCTGGAACGGATTAATGGCATTTCATGATAAAATTTCTGTAGAGAAAATTGCTTTGAGATATGAGCAATTTGTCATACGAGCAATGTTACAGAACAAAGTAAACTTGAGGTACCATTGTATAATACAATAATAGAACAGTTTTTAGTAAGCTTTTAGATTATGGTGCTCTTTACTTTACTTTAGTCTAAAAATTAGCCACTTGGGGGTTATGCTAACTGCTAGCTTGTAGTTAACTAACCTACACTCGTTACACTGGCTTAGTAACATCTTGTAATAGCCATATTAGAAAAATGCCTCAGTCGCTTTAAAAAAAACAGTATTCCAGGCCCTACTTCTGTACTTTTTGTCTTTCAAATTGCTTGTTTCGTTGTTAGATCAGTTAGAGCCATAGCTAGTGCACTAATCTACTATCTTGTACTACCTAATTAGTAGATCAATTTAAAATATATTAGACTATTTGGCCTTTAATATATTTCTTAGTAGGTCTAAAGTAAATGTTAGCAAACTTCATAGCTTAGGACTTTTGCTTGAGCTTAATGTTCTAAAAAAAGATATAGACTTGGGATGTAATATTTGGCTTTATATTAAAATAATAAATTATTATTGATTATTAAATATATTTTATTAAGCAGGCCCTGGGTGTATAAGGCCTTGTATTACATTTAAAAAATATTTTAATAGGCCTATCATGCAACAAGGTAGCTATTAAATGCAGATTTTGCATAACTTTTATTTTGTTTAGATTTGATGTAGGCCCTATTCAACTATTAATAGTTTAGATTCCCAATGATTATTAGGCCTAATTATTAAAAACCTGGCTCTCTAGTCTGATAGATGATTGGATAAGTGTGCACTGGATATCAGGGCACAAAGCCTGTGCATTAAGTAAAGAAGTTCTCTTATAAAACAACATGCAATTGATTTTATTTTAATAGTGAAATTATAATTAATTGATTTGTTACTTGAATGTGCTTGAGTACCCGATCATTGCATAAAACTACATTGAACACCACGGAGAAAGTCGTGGGTTCTGTACAGAGAATGTCTACATTAGCCATCTAGCTAGATCTACGCAGTTCCGTATTTCTATTTTTTTTTTCAACTTGCGCGTTTGGGATCAGACCGTTGTAAGTCATGGTCACACATCATTTTCCAGACACACATTTCAATGTAAATTTTTGTCAAAAACGTTGCATAACAAAGCAGTGGGTGCTAACCTTTTCATTTTCTCGGCACTCTTGCAAAATTCAGCTTTCCCAATTTTAACTGACGCGAATAATTTTTTTTGTAGTTTTGAGGTTGTTGATCTCGGAGGTTATAGTTGCCATAAACAGTTGACTCTGCATCCTTTTCTCGCCGTTATGTAGGCCGTTGATTTCCGTACCCCATTTTGTAGGCTGTTAATTTCCGTACACCATTGTAAAGGCTGCTGATTTTTTTACCCCATTGTAAAGGCTGATGATTTTTGTACCCCATTGTAAAGGCTGATGATTTTTGTACCCCATTGTAAAGGCTGATGATTTTTGTACCCCATTGTAAAGGCTGATGATTTTTGTACCCCATTGTAAAGGCTGATGATTTCCGTACCCCATTGTAAAGGCTGATGATTTTTGTACCCCATTGTAAAGGCTGATGATTTCCGTACCCCATTGTAAAGGCTGATGATTTCCGTACCCCATTGTAAAGGCTGATCATTTCCGTACCCCATTGTAAAGGCAGATGATTTTGTACCCCATTGTAAAGGCTGATGATTTCCGCCTGGTGTTGTATCCTCGCTACTTTTAAATATACATATGGGGCTAGTTTTTTTTAAACGATCTATTTTTACCACCGCAGCTTCCAAAATATTAGCAAGGTTTAAGCTTACTTGGTAGGCCTATAGTGACGACAGTATTTTTTTATAGATATTCTCTCCCTGGTTACTTCGTGTCAACAAAAAGTTGGGGCATGTTCCACTGAATCGAAAATGGGCATACAACTACAACAGTTCGCTTCCAAAACTTGGTTTAACTTTAACGTATGTTTAATAAGGAATCTCGGGCAAATATGGACATATATGATATTCTTAAAACCGCCGAACCAGAATAAGCGTGAATACAAAAATCAACTGAATATAATTGCCGTTGAAGAGATTATTGTGCTTTGAGAGGCGTCACCCATTGTGACGAAATATAGCACCACGTTTACATTTGCGACCTGTATAGTATACATGATTACATGTCTCGAAAAAAAAACCGCAACAAGTAAGTATATGTATACACGTTCCGTGGGAAAAATGTTTTCATTAAACTTTACGCGTTGCGATTTTTTTTCTCGACATGTATAGTATACATGTCGCAAGTGTAAACGCAGTGTAAGATCTTACATCTGAGGAGCCTATTTTTTTTTTTTGCCACATATCATGTTTTAAAAAACCACTGTCAGGGGGAGGGGGCGGGGTCGTCCATAAACAACTTCACACTCCTGGGTGGTAGGGGGTGTACTTTTGTGACGAGGAGGTTGAGGAGAGGTTCAGAAAGTGTGATGACACACTTTAACATTTTCCATTTCCTTGTAAAAAAAAGTTCTGTTAGAAACTAATTTTAGCAGTTATTTGGCTTTTAAAAAGATGTGTTGTTATTAATTGTTGTAGAAATAGATAAATACGCAGTTTAAAAAAACAAAAAACAACAACAATATTACAATTTTGAGAGAAAGGGGGGCGTAAAATTATTTTAAAAAAAATTGTCTTAGTTTATGGATAACCCCATATATCATGAAAAAAATCAGCTACTCATGTAATTATAGTTTTATTCGATAAACTCCTACATATTTATCATTTATATGTACAATTTTGTTAAGCTAGTGTAGTTTTTTTTCTTCAAGTTTCTGTAAAAAGCGTTGCATCTTGAAAAACACAATGGTTGGCATTTCGACACCACTTCTTTTCCATGTTTTTTTAAAATTTATTTA